CGGGGGCGACCGCGGAAAGGGGAACGGCGCTGGGAAGTGCCGTGAGAGGAGGAGGAGGCGTAGCCCGTGCGCTGGGCTGGGAGGAGGAGGTGGGGTGAAGACGGGCTCGCATCCGCTGGTGGTCCCTAGCGGCCTCGTAAGCCTGTGGGGCCGATGTGAACTCGTACCGCCATAGCTCGGAGCGGTACTCGAGCGGAAGGCTGGCCAAGAAACGATCGATAAGGGCAGCCTCGTGGAGGAACGCCACGTCGCAAACGAGGCGGGCGTCCTGAAAGACCTGGATGTGGTGAATCAGGCCGGCAACGCCACCAGAGCCAGACCAGCGTGTAGTGACGACACGCTCGAAGGCGTCAGTCACGTCGTATCGGGCTCCGAAGCGATCCTCGAGGAACGCCTAGAAATCCACGAAGATCGGAGTCCGACCCTCACGAAGGGAGTAGGCATAGAAATCCTCCCAGGCCTCGAAAGGACCGCCACGCAGGCGCGTGGATAGGTGACCCACCCACGTCTCGGGTGTGGCGCCCATGAGCTGGAGTGTGCGGGTGGCAGACTGCAGCCACCGGGACACGCGTATGCCTGTACCGTCATACAAGGCAATGTCCGACAAGCGGATGAGTGGTGCGCCACCGTTTTGGCGGCGAGGGGATCGAGGAGCGGAGGCCTGTGCCACGACTGAGTAAGTCGGCGCAGGTCCTGGAGAAAGGGGCGCAGCTGACTGTGCTCCCGGGCCGCATGGGGGAGCGGCGGTGGCAACAGCGACAGGCTGCGAGGGTGCTGCGGTAGAAGAGGTCGCAGCAACCGCGGGAGTAGGAAGAAGGTAGGAAGGAGTTGTATAGGGTGCARGGCGCGRAAAGCGAGCCTGCATGGGAGGAAGGGTAGAGGAGRTAGGGGGTGCGCCCGAAGGCGCGGCCACCTGTGAGGGTGGGGGTGGCTGAAGGCGTAAGAGGGCGAGGTTGGCCCGGAGCTGGGCAATCTCGTCCTCGAGACCTCGAACGTAGGTCGTGCGAGGGGTAGCAGGGGGAAGAGTGGAGGAAGTAGATGCACAAGCGGCGCGGGGCATCCCAGAGGGGGGAGAGCCAGGTGGCGCTGCAGTCGTGCGAAGGGGGGGGAGGAGCGGGGCACCCGGAAACGCTGAGACCATGGTAACGGGTTGTGGTCCCGTGGCCGTCGTAACCGGAATCTGGGCCGGTGCGCCCGTAGACTGAGGAAGAGCCTGACTCGTGGCGACCGTCGAGCTAGGGGCGTGGACGGTCACCAAAATGGCCGGGTCGGGGGCGGCAGAGGAGGGAACTCCGCTGTGGCCACCCTGTCGGAGAACTGGGGACCCGGACTGAGAGCCAGGAGAAGAGAGAGGATGAGGAGAGGAAGGACGACCAGCGTCCTGGAGTTGCTGCACGCCGGCGGCAAGGGTCGCCACCTGCGCCTGTAAGGGCCCGAGGGTCGCGAGTTGCGTCTGGATGGGCGCAAGGAGGGAGGTGAGGAGGGTGTGTAGATCCCCCTGGGGCTGATGGCCCTGGTCTGCCGGCACGGGTGTGGAGCCCGATGTCGTGGTCATCACTGTGTTGACGGCGTGTGACGCACCGTCGGCCATGGGGAGATGACGGATCGGACTGGAGGGGGCCAGAAGAGGTCCGCGTGAGCGGAGGGCGTAGGGGGAAGTCTGCGGTAGAAAGCGGCGAACGGCGCTAGCAAGGCTAGCACGGGCGCCGTCAAAGGGGGAGGGGTGGTTCGGGTCCAGGGTGCCCGAAGAGGACGGGGAAGTAGGGGGGTTTTGAGGAACCCTAAACCCTACGAAAACCCTACGAAAACCCTAAGAAAACCCGAGGTTTAAGGCTAGGGTAGGGTACCGGTGACCTAATCAAGAAAGTAAAATAGCAAGCATAGGGGGGGGGGGGGAGACGAGAGAAAAATAAATAAACAGCGAGATTTCGAGAGGAAATAAAAATAAGTATTTTCTAAATAAATAATAAATAATAAAAATAATTAAAGAAATAAGTAAAAAGACGTGAAGAGAAACAATATTTATTTTTGTGAAATTTTCGGCAGTATTTCCCTACCCCCCATGGGGTCAAGAATGTGCCAAGGGAAAAGGAGAGACCGAGGTGTGCACACTAGAGATGCCGCAAATAAATAAATAAAAAAGAAATTTCAGAAAATAAATAAGAAATAATAAATAAGTAAATAAGTGTGTGAGGAGGTGGGGAGAAATGGGTTATTTGATTTTTCAAAAATTTTGGCAGCATTTCGTTACCCCCATGGGGTCGAAGTGTGCCGAAAAGACTACGTAAGAGAAAATCAGAAAATTTCGGCARCACTTCGTTACCCCCACGGGGTCAAAACGTGTGTCGAAAGCAAGAAAGGCTAACACCTAATCAGATTTAGGGTTGCCGCCAAGAATTTTCAGAATAAGTAAAAATAAATAAAATAAATTAAAAAAATAAGAAAAGAGGATGGTGAAGAAGATGAGAAAACTAACAACTAATCAGATTTAGGGTTGTCGTAGAGAAAATCAAATTTTTTAGAATAAATAGAAAAATAAATTAAATAAATAAGAAAATGAGAAAAGAAGGTGGGAAAGAAAATATTTCGAATTTTTGAAAAAAGAGAAAAGATAAATCAAAAGAGAGGTGGAAAGAAGAAAAACAGAGAAATTTTCGAAGTAGGGGGGAAGGGGAATGAAAAGTGAGGGAGAAAAAAAAGAAATAGGTGGGGGGAGAGAAAAARAKGAAGTGGGAGGTAGGGGGATGGGGTGGTGGTAGTTGGGGGAGAGGAGGGATGGGGAAAGGTGGACAGGGATCAAGAAGCAAAGAGAAAAGRAGGAGGARGAAAAGAAAGAAATAAAAGAAGAAGAGTAAAAGAATGGGTGTTGGGAGAAAGGTGGGGTGGGGAAGATAAAAGGAGGAGAGAAAAGATGCAGTGGAAGGTGGGGGAAAGAGAAGGGGTGAGTAAGAGGAGAGAGGAGAGGTAGGGAGAGTGGGTTAGTAGAGGGAGAGGGGAGAAGGGAGTGATACCTGGCCCTTGGTGTCTCCAAGGGCACAAGGTACACCAAGACCAGGAGGGTCTTGGTCTTTGCTGCAGCAGCCAGTTGGAGGAGAGAGGGGGCTGAGATCTTGATCAGCCCCCAGCAGCACTTCTGCAGATGTGTAGATGTAGGATCTGTTGTGTGAGCAGGCCCTCTCCACTGTAGAGCAGCCCCCTAAGCAGGGGGGTCTTCAGCCACGTGGTCGTGGAGATGGCCACGTGCACAGGCAGCAGGGGGGGGGGGAATAGCAACTTCGCTGCTGCGCACTGCTCGCTGCCGGGGGGAGGGGGGGGTAAATAGCCAGCACGGCACCTCTTCAACACGAGTGTGCCGTGCTACAAAGCCATGGACATACTGTGGCAAGTGTGTTATGAGGCTGCTTACGCACGCGCATGGCTCGACAAGTGCCTGGGTTCAAACCCTAGCAATAGCAGTTGCATCCCAGATCTTGATAATATAAATCCAGGAGCGGGGCGGGATGGGGCGGGGCAGCGTGGGCGCGCGCGCACGTGCGGCGGCCTTGGCCTTGGCGCTTGCGCGCGTGATGCGGCTTCCTTTTTCGCCACGTGGAGCTCTCCTGCTGCAGCACCTTTTTTCGTTGTTTTTCCCGCTTTTTCCCGCTTTTTTGCCCGAAAACGCCCCAAAAACAACCGAAAACCCGACTGTCGGGTTTTGTCGTATTTCGCTGCTGTGCGGTGTGGTGGGTGGGGGCGGGGACCGCTCCCGCTCCGATACCAATGTGGCGGACCCACCAGGTGTGGTGCTCCGCTAGTGACAGAAGGGGGAGCAAGATGGCACAACGCAGCTCCCCACGCAAGACTC